GCTCCTGGCTGGCCTTGATGAGGTCGCTCGGGGGCGCCTGGACAAAAAAGGGAATGACTCCAGGTCACTCTCTTCTTTAAGTTTTGTGTAATGGAGATTCAGTCCTGCCTGGAATATCATGCCAGTGGAGGCTTCTGCCTCAGGCTGCTCACCCAGTCGGCAGCACCGCGCGGTCGCGCCTACCCCAGCCTACCCCTTGCTCCCAGGACTCACAATCAGATACTTAGACCTCTACATTTTGCTGCAAATAAAAAAATAAAGCTGCCGTTTAGAACTGTCCCCCAACATACATATGACACCCATGACAGCAGCAGACGGTACAGTATGGTTGGTAACCGTCTTTGCCAACTTGCAAAGCAGCAGACGGCTCAGTATGGCTGGTAACCATCTTTGGTAACTTGCAAAGGCAAGGGGATGCTGCTGTGTAGCGCTGCAGTACCGCGTCTGTCAGCAGCATCCGGTGACAGTGAAAAAAGGCTGAACGGGCTCCATGGTTGCTGTGCTATGGCGTCTGCCCGGGCAATCCAGGGAAAAGGGCGCGAAACGATTGTCTGCCGTTGCTTTCACGGAGGGAGGATTGACTGACGACATTTACCCATAACCACCCGCGACAAAGTTTTGGCCCCATCAGGTATTGGGATCTCAACCCAGAATTCCAATGGGCGGGGGAGACTGCGGGACCTATGGGATAGCTACCACAGTGCAACGCTCCGGAAGTCGACGCTAGCCGCGGTACATGGATGCACACTGCCGAATTAATGTGCTTAGTGTGGCCGCACGCACTCGACTTTATACAATCAGTTGCCAAAAACCGAATTCTGTAAATTCGGAATAATCCCGTAGTGTAGACATACCCTAAGTCTAGCAACTCAGGATTCCGGGTCCTGCCATGAGCAAGGCATGAACGGAGTCAGGGAGGAAGGACGGATGGCTTTAACGCCAATGTTTCCCTGCAATCTCTGGTGATGCACCAGGGTGGTTATTCCCCTCGGACGGTGATTGCGAAGCCTGCCACCAGCCCAGGCAAGGAGCTGGAAAAAGGAGACAATCCCTTCTCCACCTCAGCTCTGGCCATCGCTTCAATCCACCAACTACAACCCAGGGGGAGCTAGAATCACCACACTGCAGTGGAGTCCTAGCCCAGGGAGACAATGGGGTGCCCCATCCCCCAGACTGTCAGAGGTGGGGAAACGCGCACTCTCCATGAGCCAGATCTCTCTTGTCAATGAAGGAGCTCGTATGGTGCTTTGTATGGAGTGGATTGCTCGCAAGAAGCACAGATCACCCTGGAATCGTGTACGACCGAATTTAGGAAGAGAAGGGACACAATCACCCCCCAACCCTGCCCCATTCTATTCCCCTCTCCCACCATCTATTCATTGTCAGGCTGTGAAAGTAGAATTAATTATATTGTAAAAATAGAATGGATTAAAGAAATGCTGTTTGTACCTTTAAGCAGAAATAAGGAATGCTGAAATACAGGTGTCAGGAAAAGAAACATTAAGGCATAAACAATGAGTCCACTTAAGCTAATGTTGGAACATTAACCAGAGATCGGTAAAAGTTAGAAAGGAAATTAAATATGTATGTCTAGCCTCAGGTAAACTGGTCAGTTCTGCTTTCTTTGTCCTCTTGTTAAGTTCGCGCCCTTTTTATCTGTATAAAATAAGGTAGTGTGGGTCTTGCATGGTGCTCACATTATCTGGGTGTATTAGCAGAGCGCTGTGCTAATAAAGAGTGGTCTAACAAATTGTGAGCCCTGAATCTGACTTTGACAAGGCGCTCTCTCTGGCTGGGTTGAAACAGGTGGGCCTTGGAGCTCAACTCCACTTCTTAGCAGCATCCTTCGAAAGCCCCCAGTAGCCCAACCTTCTCTCCACCCTCACCTGAAGGCCACACTGAATCTGCAGCGTCCTCGATCTCTGCCAGCCTGGGGGGCTGGAAACAGATGAGTTTCACATCAAGAACAGCGGGCGGGGGAACCCAAACCCTATTGCAACTGGCTTGGTTCCTTTACAGAAAACAGCGGCTCAAAAAAGCATTTTTATTCATTTCTTTTTGCTCACAAACCTTCAAGTGCTGCAAGTTTACAAAAGAAACATATTCACACCCACACCACCGCCAAGCTGGACTTCAGGAGAACCACCCCAGGAATGATTTAAATACACTCACTTAAAAAAAATAATAATAAAAGTGTAAAAAGGTGGCTCCCATTATAAATACAGTGCAATAATTCTGTACAATTTTACAAGGTTAAGACAAAAGCCAGCGGCACACCCAGAGCGAGTAGCTTTGAAGGATTTCATATGCAAGTCACAAAAGAGATTTGAAGATTCAAGATGGCCTCCCAGGTACTTCTCTTAGGGCTTGTCTATGTGGGGAAACTGACCAGAGTAGCTATCCCAGGACAGCTCTAGAGCTTTAAATTCAGATCCTAGCTTACTCCAGAATGGCTTCCCCATGTAGACGTGCTCTTTCTGAGCATGCTCTGTTAAGACTCACAACAAGACCGAGCTGCAAAGTACAGATCAGAGATTTTTGGCCTAGACTCATCTCCCGTTAACAGCCTCACCTGGGAAGCCAGGTCAAGCCAGCAACCGGCATGAGAATTGTTCCACAACAGACAGGATTCCAAACCCAAATGATTACGTTAATGTTTAACTCTATAGAAAGCAGGCAGCGATATACCGGTCTCAGCCCACAGACACTTCCGGTTTATGTACAAAGCAAGTTCAGGATCAGACTTTAAAAAACAAAAACAGAAACAAAATACCCCTGACTATTTCAAAAAAAGAGCTTATTCTCAACTGGTACAGAAACACACCTCTCAGGCTGCTCTGCCATGAAAGTGAACTATTTTCCAGTGATGCCTTTTAGACATCAGGTTTGCTCCTTGGGCACGTCTACGCGAAGAGTGCTTTACGGCAAACCAGCATTACCATACGAGCAAACGGCTCCTAATGTGGATGCAGCTACACTGGCAAAGCTGTGCTCTGCACCGGTATTGTGAAATCACGCCACCCTGAGTGAAACTATACCTGTAAAAGAGAAACTTCGTTAGTATCGCTGCTTCTACGTTCGAGGCGTCTAGTGGCAAAGCTAGGCCAGCAGAAGTGCTTAGCATAGACCTGACCGGAGTCTTGTATCTTCCATTTTGGCTTTGTCTAGAGGAGGATTTAGCAATGGTTTTTAGATGGTGTTAGCTAGCTCAATCTACCCTTAACTCTGCCCACTTAGCACATGCTAAAATACAGCTGGCCTTGTCTAGAGTATTGGAAGCTGGTCACTGGCTTGATCCAATTTACATCACCTCTGTCAATTCAACCCACGCAACACCTTGTGACCCAGATCTGACCACTCTTCACTCCTATTTGCCCCGCTCCCAGTGCTGCTGTGAGAGGGGGAAGCTGGATTCTAGTCGCCCTTGTGCATCAGAGCGGCTAACGAAGGACCCATGCGCACTGGATTTGCCCCCAATTCAGCTGCACTGCCTGCAAATTCCTCTTGTCGACAGGCCAACTGCTACCAGCTTCCATTGGCACTAGCACACCCCACCCCAGCCTCCAGCAAGGGCGCGCACGTGGTGCTGCTACACCAATTGCTAGCCACAGGCGGCTGGAATTGGGGCAACCCCCCCCCACTGCAGACAAGGCAGCTCAGCCCTTCAGTGACCCCTGTACAAACCCACAGGACAACGGGGTGGCGTGGGCCTCACCTGGCCTGCAGAACCTCTCTAACCGGGGAGGACGTGCAAGGAGAGAACCCAGTTGGCCTCTCCAATGCCAGGGGGAGCTTGCAGTTCAAAGAGCCGTATCTTTACTCGCCCACAGAGCACGTTCGAGACGCAGCCATGCCGCTTCCAATGCTGGTTTGACGGTCACTTTTACAGCAGGGTTGAACTTGGATTATTCAGCGGGGGAGATCCCCATAGTACATGGTTGCATTAGGAAAACCGACTGTTCTAGAGAACACACGAATGCTGCTCAGTCTCTTCTCTTCACAGATGCTCCCTGAATAACCAGGGCTACAGAGCCCCTGCCAGAGCAACAGCGGCCTTTCGTTTAGATACACAACCGCCACCTCCAGATGGAGGCCAAGCTCCCCGGGACAGTTGTGGATTGAGATGCCAGAAAACCTCATCCCTTTGGTTAGATCAGACGCCTGTCCAGAAGGGGCTCGAATGAGCCAGCCCACCCTTTCTCCGTCTCAAGCAGAGCCACCCCCAGCTCGTCACACCCCGTTTTGGAGAGTTCCCACTTTTGCGCGCTCCCCTAGACGAGGACACTAGATGTGGGAGCTCTAAGGCAGGGCTGGTAAGAAAGGAGATCAGCCGAATCCAGCGTCTGACCACGAGAATGGCTGTACACGGACATCCCCCTTCCACCCCTAAATGCCCAAACACACACGAAAAGGGGGCAAATTAACAAAATCAAAACCTTTCCCCCAGCAGAGTTTTCACCCCCAAAAAGGGAGAAGAATCAGAGACTCCACAAGGTCCATTAAGGGCTTAGCTACTACTATCGATTTTATGTGGAAGGTGCTGCCCATCACCGTAGTATCTGGGCAGCATTAAACCCCTTTGCTAGATTAAAAGCCAACAAAAAGTGTTTAATGTTAACATTAGTGGACATTTTGGCTACAATACCTCAGGCTCCAGTCCTGCAAGGAGAGCCACCTGGGCAGATGTGAACAGGACTCTACCTACCCAGCATCCATTGCAGGCTCCGTCTGGCATTCTCCCCAGACAGGGATAAGCTGCATTCAAGAAGGGGTTAAGAAAATGTGCTTGTTTCCATTTTTAAGAGAGAATTTAATGGGATGGCACATGACAAAATTCTCCACCCGTTGACCAACAGCTGTTCTGCAAATATTGAAAACCTGGAAATCCAAACAAGCCTTTCTGGAATGGGGGAGGGATGAATTTTGGAATGATTGAAATAAAAAGTTACTTTCCCCTTCCCCTCTGGAATTTACACACACACACACACACACACACACACACACACTGGAATCTGCGGCTAACAAGGTTGCTACACGGCAGAGCCACTAGTTATTATAGGACAAATTTTCAGAGGTATTTAGGTCCCTAAAAATGCAGATAAGCACCTTGCCAGATTTTGAAAATCTTACTGAGTAAAATTTAAGTAAGATTAGATCAAAATTTCTCAACTCTGGTAGCTCAGGTTTGCCACCCAAATCCACATTTTTAGGCACCTATGAGTGGCTTGATTTTCACTTCAAAGAGGGAGCAGGGCACACTCAACATCTGAAACAAAAACAAAAAAAATCAAGCCACCATTAGCTGCATAAATATTCATTTAGGCGCGCAGCGCTAGGCACCCAAGTTTGACAGTTTTCACACTAAGTGCCCGACTAGCAGGTTTAAGTTTAAATTACAGCTGAAAATTTGTATGTTTCACGGTGTGCAGATGATTGGTCTCTGATTGGCTGAAGCATGATATGCGCCAAGCCAATCAGAAAGCAGCAAGTCAATAAGCGACCAGCACCGCGACATTGGTGAACCAGAGTGGTCTGCAAGCCATGGGCACATCCTGGAAACCAAGCGCCATGGATAATGGTCCAGATCTCACCGCTAAGACCCTGTCCGTCAGAGGATCCCAAAGCACGGCATGGAAGAGGGTATTAGTCCCACCTCACAGGAAGCACAGTGGAAGTTAACGGCATGGTTTTCACAAGGCACGGCGCACTCAGAATTCTCTTACGCTACCTTGGCAATCCCAGATTTCATCCACTGTTCCCAGAATCTACCATGGAAGGAGAAGGGGCGGGGCAGTTGGTCTCTTAGGGGACCCAGCCCAGCCTGTGGCACTTGGGGCTTCTCCCACTCGATGAGACGGATCCCACGCTAACTTAACAATGAATTTAGAGAAGGGCTGATCCAATCAGTGAGGATCTGGGGTAACCCTGGACTCGGGGGCTCGCACGGGAACAACAGCCCATTGACTGGATACATGTGACGCTCACAGCAGGTCGCTTGGCACCAATCTAGATGGAGCAGATCCAAGTGACCCTCTGAGAGCGAAGGCAGCCAGTCATTTCAGTGAGAGGACGGAGGGAAGGGGGTGGGGCCTAGGGTCAGTCGAAGGGGAGGGAGGAGATGCAGTCGGAGTCCCTCCCATCGCAGGTGAGTGGGCAGGTGCGTCCCTGTCTCACCACACCCTCCACCCCAGACTTGCCTTGTTTCAAGTTTCATTACAAGATGTCAGAGCAGGTCCCTGGTAAGGTCCCCCTAGAGGCCATGGCCCTAAGGAGGGACTCTCAGCTGACTGTTCATATCAAAAGCCACCTGACGGCTGCAATGACAAACGGGTTTCACTCGGCATTTCTGGGTTGGCTCAGACCCTGTACGCTCCAAGCAAAACATTCAGGGAGGGGGGAAGCAAGACCCACCTGGGTCAGATCCAAAGGGGCCGCCCGGGCCCCGCAGAACGAAACAGACAAGTGTCCCGCAGCTGCGCTGCCGTCACAGATCCCTACGGGCCCCCCGAGCAGCTGCGAGAGCTTAAGGATTTCTTCATTCACAGACGAATACGTGCCCACCCCTGCCCAGATTTCAGGGAACGGGATCTCTTGCTCCGCCACGCAAATCCCCTGGCAGACCACAGAGCGTTCCACTCCCCCTCCGCTCCCCAGACACAGCCGCCCTGCGTGTTCCACAGACAGGTCGCTTCGGGGGCGGGATGCCAAGATTCACTCTCCATGACAAGAATCCCAGTCTCCCAGGGGCTCCTTGCCCGGCCCCAGCATCCCTGGACAGGCCAGGAACGTGTTACCAGCGTGTGTGTGGGGCAGGGAAAAGATAAACGGGCAAAGGCACTCCATTCCTGCAGCAGGTTCTATGGGGACGTGGTGGGAGACTCCTCCCCAGGTTGCCCTCTGGGGTCTTGTATTGCATTGACTGCTACGCCCAGTCTGTGCTGGCCCCAGCTGCCCCGAAGAGTAGAGGAGGAACTGCGGAGACCACGCATGGGTGGGATGGAGCGGGAGGAAGTCTTGCCCCATGGGAGGTCTCCATGCCCCTGCTCTGGTGGCCAGGAGGGGAGGAGCTCAGAGTCCACACTTCAAGTCAAAGCCCAGGTCTCCAGCAAGGCCGTTAGCACCATAGCGGGGAGGGAGAGGGGCCCCCTCGCCGGCTCAGTTCTTCAGCAGGTCGCCAAGGTCATAGGCCTCGAAGAGGTCGCTCACTCCCTCGCCCCCCTCCAGCCCCCACAGGTAGTCGTCCTGGTCGAGGGGCGGGGAGAAGCTGACGAAGGGGGCGGGGTCGCCGTAGGGCAGCTGGTCCTCTGTCTGCTGCAGCAGGTGATGGGGCATGTCCAGGAGCCCGTCCTCCACCTCCATCAGGGGCTCGGCTGGGGAAATCAGAGACGGAAAGGAGAGCTTGAAACGAGCTTGGTGGAGCTAGGTACGTGCAGCCTGCCCCGGCGCAGCAGAGCCCCCGGCACCTCCTCGCACCATGGGCCAGGTGCCCCACGAGCCCCCCATTCACCAGCGGCATGGGAGGAGCCTGGTGAGGGCAGGCAGTGGGTAGGATTCTGCCACCCGGCCCTATTAATGCCCCTGAAACCCAGCCTGCAGCTTGTTATTATCTGCCAGTGTTCCAGACGGGGAGCCCCACCCCACCCACAGCTCTGCCAATGCCCCTCCACCCCAACC